AACATTGAGTTATATGAACTTTAAATGGTAAATATACACCCAGGTACTCACAGCAACAAAAGCAAGACAGCATCTGTGGTACAGATAAGCACCTTGCACACAACACCCTGCCTAGAAGTCAGCTGCAGCATCTGATTAAATGTAGCAATGGTCCTGGGAGCACCTCAATTCCCACCTCCGCCAACCCTCACCTTGAGAAGAGCATAACACTTGCCCTGAAGCTCTGAGCATGCTGCAACAGTTCGGCACTTGTGCCCACCTCAGCTGGAGTTCTCCTGTGCATTTACCCTCTCATCAGCCTCATGCAGACCCAAAGCAGTCCAGCTTGGACTGAGCAAGCTTTTAAAACGTGTGCTGCTGTAAGGCCTGGCTTCTGTGGGCGCATGGCCTTGGTGAAAGCCAGGTGTGTGCTCACATCCCCTGTCAAACTGGAGCTTGCATGAGCAGAGCCGCTCGGGTACTGGTGGCAGCATGGAGCTCCCGATTGTAAATTCCTGCGGGTACAGGCTGGGCCATTCTTGCCAGGTTGCGGTCGTCTGTGCACTGATAAACAATAAATAATTGTAATGAATGGCAGTATTTTTTAAGTACAGGAATGAGCCCATTTAATATTTAGCTGAGTTTTGTTTATTATTCTCAAAATGCATTCACAGCATATAGAGTAATGTCTCCAGAGGGCTGTTCTGCCATGGAATATTATGCGACTCTCTATCAATAAATGACACAGCTTTTTACATGTTTTAAGGAAAATAAATAATTGCTGCTCCTTGTGGAGTTAGGCAATTAATTGCCTAATTATTTTGTTAAGTGTCACTACTAAAAGAAAAACATTACTGGAGCTTTATGGGCAAATTCTAATCTGAACTAAGGGTGAAATTCTGGGAAAAAGTGTATGTGCTGTATATCTGCACCATGTTGAAGTATTAAGCTCCTAATAAAAATGTCTTTGACTTGGGGAAAATTAGAATTTGTTTCTTTATCAGTAGCTTGGGGTGATTTTTTCATACTTAAATTTTTGCAGCCTCATCATTTATGAGTTCTCCCAGGCTTCCTCTGAAGTGCTAATGTACATCTATGCAGAGCCCAGCTCGGAGAAAGGCAAGGTGAATTTGTCTATAAGTGACACACAATAAGGATGGGTATCGCCTGCACTGTCAATAAGTGCACATCATCCTTCCCAGTACAGATTCACTGCTGGTGCCAGGAATGTGGGGCACTCAGTGCCCCAAGGCAATTCATAGTACTGCCATCACCCATACACTTTGGAGTGATGCCCCTCAGTGATCTGCCCAAACTTACAACCACGGAATGACCTGTCATTAGAGATAAAAACAAAGGCACAGGCCCCTTGTGACTACTGCCACTGGTTGCAGCAGGGGCTCAACAGCCTCCAGACAGGTGTTTGCCAGTGCAAGCAGAAGCTACAAGCTCCTGCTTCCACTGGGACCATTCAGAAGGCACCAATATCCTCTGCTCACCTGAGAAGAAGGCTGAGAAGAAGACAGACACAGGGGGACAGCACTACTGCAAGCTACAGCAAGAGCAAGTGGCATCCTTCCCAGTGGCACAAAATCATTAGCAGGGGCTGCTGAGCAAGGAGAGGGCAAAGAAGAGCAGGGCGGCAGGATGCCAGGACACCTGCGGTTCCTTCCAGCACTGGGCCAGGGACAGCCCCACTTGACTGCAGGTATGGGCTTGCTGTATTGCCTGTGAGAGAGATGGAAATGGACTAGGGCTGTCTGCGGGCTTGGGGATGGAAGAGACAAAGGAGGCACAGGAACCCAGCCTGCAGTAATGGAGAGTGCTGTGGAGGACAGTGTCATATAATTGTCTTCATAAACCGATCAAGCTTCATCTTAAAGCTGGCTAGGGCTTCAGTTCCTTCTTTTCCTATTAGAAGGCTCTTCCAGAGTCTCATTCCTCTGCTGGTTAGAAATAATGTAATTGCTCAAATTTATTCACGGTCAGTTCAAAGCCATTTGTTTCTGTGCCAATATTGTTCTTTAGCTCAAACAGCTCTCCTCAGCTGCACAATGGGCAGCAGATTCCAGTTTCTCTGAAACACGGGTTGTTTGGGACACATAAGAATTAGTCAGGGCAAGCTGCAGCAGATTCAGAGGTTACACAAACACAGGCAGTTCTGGTGCGCTGTGCTATTATGGCTGTGGGCCCATGCTAGCAGATGCTGCCTTACAACTTGACTAAATCTGGCTTAACTCTGTTTTCTACAATCCTCCCAGGCAACAAGTTTCACCTGAAATTTTGGGGGAAATTTTTAGTTCAATGTTGGTGGAATAACAAACTATTTACTCTAAAAAGTCTACTGTTTACACTCAGTAGGAGCTCCTGGGAGAGGTCACTACTGCTCATGGCATTTCATGGAAGCCCCGTGCCTCGCAGGACACAGTATGGTCAGATGTGAGAGACATCATCACTTTATTCCATCTCTACCTGAACTGAGGTCAAATGATTTTCCCCACAGCCTCCTACATGCTGGGTGCAAGAAAGGCAGAGGAAGAAAATCCTTTTGCTGCGGTCTGTTCCCACTAATATCCAGTCCCACTTACTCCTTCATGTAGTCAGCATCTACTTTAACAAGCAGCAGTCACTTAGTATTTATTTTACTTCTTTTCTGAGATCTGTAGGAAGCTTTGAGAAATGGCTACCACGTGATGTTTATCAATGTTTTTCTCTCCTGGCGGAGGAAAAAGTATGAGGAACATATTTCATGATGAAGTGGGTTTCTACTTAACAGGACAAAATTAAAGCCAAGCCATAGATCAGCATAATATGTCAAAAGAGAAAATAGTTCAATGTATTGTAAATGATACCCAGGTTAAAAAAGCACAATGTTGGAAATCAAGATCCTGATTTAGGAAGGTACTCGATGATGTGCTTGAAATTAAGCACATACTTAAGTCCTGGTAAGGCTGGAGGATTTAATTGTTTTCTTCCATTAAAAAGATTACCAAAAAAAAAATCTTTTATTTAGGTACTTCCTTGGTGCTGCAATGAGCCCTGTGCGTGTTGCTTACCAGAGACAGTGCGGCAGTTTCTTCCCACTGTAAATATTCTGAAAACATCTAGGGGAGAATGCAACTTAGCAAATATTTTATTGGATGCACTAACATCGAAAAAATAGGAGACAGGTTTGTGGAGCCACAACAGGCAAAAGACACCGGGCTGAAACTACAGTGTCTAGCTTGGCTTGTGTTGGCCAAAATGACCCTGAAGGGCTGAGAAGTGCTTTGTGACTTCTGAAGCGAGCAAACACCAGGGTCATGCAAAAACTGCAGCCGCCGGTTTATTTTTTTTACAAGGTAAGGGCAGCTTTCCCACAGGAAAATCTTTGCCAGGTGGTTTCACACCTTATCGCTGTGCACACTGTCTCTATCAATCCGCCTGTTTGTTGATGCCAGCAGAGAGGGACTCTTTCCTCCCACAGAGCCCATGCTACCAAAATCCCACTCCACCTTTACTTCGCCACTTCGAATTACCACCAGTCCCTTGAATTAAGATGAAACAAATCTGAAAGTAAAAGCAAGGGTAGAACCCCGTACGTGCTGCCCCCACTGCTTCTCTCCTGACCCAGCTGCCTGGCATCAACCAACACGCCATGGGCAGCAGCTCTCGAGTGGCGGCTTGATGGGGAAGGGGCTGCTCAGCCCAAAGCGTGCTCAGCGGGACCCAAATGTTAGGAGCCTCCTTGCTGCTTACTTTTGCTTAGAGCCCTAAAGGCTAAGTCATGGAAATCGGCCCAGTTTTCAGCTCTTTCCAACTCCACCAACACCAGCCCCCGCAGCTCAGGGGCCCCCTGAGGCCTGTGGCGAGGAATGGGGCTGGGCCGGCCCCATGCAGCCGCCCCACACACAAGTGTCCGCTGTGCTATTTCATGAGCAGATGTCCCCTGTGTCGCTGCAGCGCCACTCCTTCCTGCTCCCATCGATAGAAACGTGAGCTGAGCAGCCCCGTAGAAATATTTAAGGAATAATTTTCAACTGTTGACACTGCTAGGCTAAGCGGTGAATGCTAAAGTTTATGATGTATAATGTCTCTGGCTACCCCGGCTCCAATTTGGACAAACCTGCCATTAACACCGGCGTGGCAGTTATTTTACTGGGGGTGACAGATTGTGAGGTAGGGAGAGTAATTCAGACTATTACCCAGGTGAAGGCATGAAAGCTCTGTGATATATGAAGACCACTTAAATTCATTGTATCTTGTACATCACATCTTTGATAGATTATAGCTGTGGCATTAAAATGGAAATGGTTTCTCAGAGGCCTGACAGGGGCTGGGGTGACCCGTGACCTCCCTCTGAGGAATGTGACTGACCGAATTATCAGTTAAGAGAAAAATCTATGGGGAATAGACTCACTGTGATGGAGAATCCACCATGCATATATATATATTTTAACTTTTGCTCTGATTGAAAGCTGCAGTACACGAACCTCCCCCCCCGCCCGCTGCCCCCAGCCAATCCCAGGCTCCTCCGCTCCAATTCCAGATCAGCAGGGCCCCCAATATTGATTGAAAAATTGTTATTAGAGATAGTAGGTCTTGCTGCATGCTGCCTACTGATTTAATTTGGAAAACATTTAATTTTATGAAGCGGTAAATGATAGTGGCACGCTCTCTCGTGTTAGGGAGCAGCTGGCTCTTTAGCTGCTTGCCGTCACTACTCCCAGGTGTCCTCTTTGCAATCATGTGTTCCCTTCCCCTTTGCTTAACAAGTTATTTCAATTTCTAAACGAATGCTGAACAAGAGAAAGACAACATGCAAATTGAGATCCCAGCCGCCATTCACACATGAAAAAGTTCCCTTGGAATTCCCTCAACTCTGCCCGTCCCTCCTGCCCTCCCTCCGCATCTGTCAGGAAAAAACAGGGCCTTGTTCTCATCAGATTGTTTTTACCAATGACCTGACACCACCATCTATAATTAATTACATCATTTACATTAGACTATTGACTAAACAAATACATAAATCATAGGCAGAGTCAATAGATGCAGACATATTTAATCATGTTCTAAACAATGATTACTGCTCCCATAATGCAATAATTATTTTCAGCAGCTGACTTGAATTAATCTTCTGTCACAGTGCCATCTGAAAGGAGAAAGCAGGCGGAGATGGAGCGGGCAGCCCCGGTGCCATAGAGGCCGCCTCGTGCTGTGCCCGGGCTCCCCCTCAGCCCCGTCCGGGCCCTTGCTGCTCCCAGCCCTGGGGGTCCTGGCGGCACCCCTGGCCCCTGTCTCTTGTGATGGAGGAACCTGGCTACACGCACCCAGCACACCCAAAACCACGCTGAGGTGGCCCCCGACAGACAGTGCTCTCCACCAAGGCTAATGCAATTAGCGTGAATTTAACTCTCATTTACTTAAAAGCATTTCAAAAGGCATTTCATTAATTTGCAAAGCACACATCTGGTCTATAGTGCCGATACGGCTGGCACGCTTGGACCGTGGCATGCTTACATCGGTGCAGTGCTCCTTCCCCTTGTTCTGCAGCCGCCCCAAGCCACCTTCCTGCAAAGACACTTTGAGAGAGGCTTCGGCAGCAGCCAGACAGAGACCCTGCTCCCCACGGGCCCAGTCCCCCGTGGTCTGCCTGCAGAGTGGTGACAAAGGCAGCACGGCATCCTGCTGAGCAGGAGGCACGACGCCCTGGCAGACAGGGGTGGCCGTGGCTCCCCGCAGGCACCCATGGAGAAGAGGTAGGGAAAGTGCATGCAGAAAACAATATCCTGGTTTTTTGTACTGGACATCACCCTCAAGCCAGAGGTTTCTGGCCTGAGAAAGGCTCCTGCTCCAAAGCTCACAGAGCGTGGCTGTATGTGAGAGCACCAAGGGAGAAATCTCTAGTTGGGTGAAATACGGCTGTTCTAGGAGGTACTTCATGTTCTAGCAGACACAGGAGCACTTTCAGAGAGGGAGAAGAGAGAACTTTTCTTCTAGTTACTGACTAGGCTAACAGCCTTTTGCTTAATGAGACATTTTGATAACCTGTGACTTGATAAAAGCAGTCCTGCAACCACAGGGTGGTTTTAACTGTAGTCACTATAGTTGTCTCACTGTACTGTGAGACAGAGCCAAAACTCTGTGACTCTGTGTACGGAGCCAAAAATACTCTGCACCTGATGCTGGACAATGCTTGAATCATTCTGCAAGAGAAGAAACCCTCCCGGCCCAGGCAATACCTAAGTTGTAACAAAACCGAGGCAGCACATCTCTGAACTGACCACAGCATAGCTTTGTTCCTATCCTCTTACACTGTCAAGATGCTACGCCCAGCAAGTTTGATCCAACAAAGCCGTGCTGCTGTTCCTGAGGATGAAGAAAGAGCAGTAGTGAATGTCAGATCATTTCAGAAAGGGAACTGCCTAGGAAATCCCATCACTAAATCAAAGCCTGCATTGCTCTTAAAAATCAAACAAAAAAACACAAAGCAAAGCAAACAACAAACAACAAAAACAGGCAAGCTTCAATCCTCACATTTTAAATTCCCAAGTAGGAGGTAATTAAACCATGCTCTGCTCAATAACAACACGGCTCCAAGCATACGGCTGATGCTTCCTATCAGTATACATGTGCATCCACACAATGCGTTTGTTGTAACACGCGTAAAAAAGCCTGAGGAGACAAAATCAACAACATTTGGATGGGTAGCTTAGTATTCACAGGGCTTGACAACATAGCACTTCTGAAAGTTTTTCTAAAATAGAAGAATCAGGCAGGCTACACTGAAATATTCATGAAGGATAATGAAAAAAACAGCCATCAATGACAGTGTTATAGATTGGTTAATATTGTATGATGAGTGTGTTATAACTATAAATTAACTTAGAAGTATAAATGATAGTGAATATAAATAATCACTAATACAAATAATAAATAATAAAAAGTAGGCTTGAGAGGGAGAAGTGATAGAGTCAGGATAGGCATCCGCTACTGAATGGTTTTCCCTCCTACTCAGTTTCTCAGAAAGCACTCAGAGCTGGCAGTATTGCTCTTCTCTCAAAATGAGAACAATGCAATATGCTGTGCTTCTTTCTCTTTCAACATGCATTAATAGCATTTCCACAATATGCTACTGCGACAAAAAATCACAACGTTGACCCTTTAGAGGGTACCAACCTTAAGCGGGCAATGGGCACAAAGGGAAGAAATCAAAAGAATGCACTGCCAATGATGTTTTCTTCTTCACTGGAACTAAAATGAAGGTATCTCAGTGAGCCATCTGTAATTGCAGTTTACTTTAATGCAATCTTCAAACTCAGACTTTAATCACTGAAGAAAATAAAAATAATGCTAATTTTGCCGGCTTTAGAAGTAAAATAGTAAACACACAGAGAGGTGAGAGACCTTCAAAAGCATAAGTGGCCAAAGAAAATGGAAGATGAAGGTGCTCCTGTGGCCAAGAGCCTGACCTGGATGGAGACATGAAAACTGCACATCCCCTCTGGGTCTGTTGTTCATCTTAGATGAGAGAAGGGGCAAATCATTGAACTCTCCCAATTTCTTGTTCAAGCAGTAAAACAGGAATAGAAAATTCCTGATGCCTTCTATTCTGTCTACAGGTATTGATAAGAACCAAGTGAGCCCTGATAAAGACAGCCAAACGCAGCAGAAAAGTTAGGTGCAGCAGCGATGCCTGATCACAACAGCGCAATTCAGCTTTGCAGCTGTACTCTCATGGGTTGGATTAGCAACCTTCCCAGAAACATGCCTCACCCTATCTGGCACAGAAACCAGCGTAACCCTCAAGAGGTGCTCCCTCCTTAAACCAGTGCCCACTGGGAAGCTATCAACAAGGTAGCAGAAATAGGGAAAAGCTGGAGGGATTGATGTGGAAAACTGCACAGGTGCATGCTGGTAGGAAAACACAGAGTATGCCAGCAAAGTCACACTGACTCTCCCTGTTTCCGTGATGCCTTCCGGATTTATCTTTTTTATCCAGGTGTGACACCAAAGGTATACCTCAGTTACACCGTTATGCTGGGCCTTGACCCACTTGTTATCTCTGACGTTATTCTGCCCCCCCCACGTGCCTGCAGACCGTAGGTGGTTGCTGAGAGGCTGCGGTACAGATGGAGGCTTTCTCAGGGAGGTGCCCTGTCCAGTGTAGCTGCTCGCAAACCATTCATCAGAGCCACATCTCAACCTCACCACAAAAGCCCCTGCCAAGCACTGGGGTACTGATCTGGGGAAATGCTCAGCCCAACCCAAGGGCACCAACTTGAGGCAGCTGCCTGAATCTCAGTACTTTATTGCCATCAGTAATTTACTTTGCAAGCACAGCTGTCCATGTAGATGTTGAAAGGGTTGCCCACTGTGCCTGAAGTTTTTTTTTTTCCATAAACAAATTCTTAGTCATTTCTTCAGAACCCTGCTCTGCAATGATGTTTTTCAGGACCACTTCTTGTTGATTTGTTTGGCTTTAGAACATGGCTTTTCAATGTTGTTCTTCTGTTGACCTGTGTTTTTTTCCAAACCAGAAGAGTAGTCCTGGCCCAGTTCTTTTTATTGAAGATGGTGGCCAAGAGGTGGAAACATCCTGGCCTTCCTGCCCCCTGAGAGGGATGCTGGGGGAAGGTGTGCCTGCTGGTATAAACAACAGCATGGATATAAGCTTACAGCCCACCCTGCAATCTTTAATAGAGAAATAAGGCTCCCTTATTACAGGCAGAGGTAAGTAGCCAAGTGATACGGTTATTTATAAACTTCTGTTAAACATAGCTAAAAATGACAGACTTAAAAGCAACCTTTTAAAAGGATGTCTCAGGAACACAGTCAACAGCAAGACGAGCTGATCTTTGGCTTGATTAGATTTTGCTCCCTTTACCTTGATGAAATGATGCCTTATTAGCATTCCAAAATGAGCACACGCTCTAAATGTAAGTGGATTTTAATACAATCTTTTTGAGAAAATGTCAAATTTCTCTTCCCCAACCCCCTTCTCCTCTAACAGCTGAGTTCAGCAAGGAACGATGCCAAAATAATGAGCAAGGGACACAAGGAATTTGGGAGTCAAGGTAAAAGGTGAGAAATAAATTCTCAGTGGTTACACCACTGCAGTTCTGCTGCCATCTGCTTCACCTAGTGCCTTGTCTTTGCTCGTGCACGGGTGTAGGTCACACCAACAAGGCTTTGGCTCCACAGTTCTCCCAGCTACGCAATTGCACATATAGCCACCTCCCAAAAGGCAAGGGCATTGCTGGTGAAAAGTGGTACCAAAGGGCACAGTGGTGTCATCTGGAAACATAAGCTTAAGCCCCGCTCCTTGTTGCGCACCCTGGTTTGTTCAGGAAAGCTGGAGCTGTGCTGGTGGGGTCTGAGGAGGTTCAAGGTAACCTCAGTCACTGCCACAGGAAGCTGAGCAATCCAGAGTCAGGAAAAGGTAAGAGAGGCAGAGCATATCTGCCTAAATTAAATTAAATATTAACATCCCCTGCTTTAGAGTTACACCATGAACGTAATACGTGCACTGTTAATGAACCGCAATTTATTTACACCTCAAACAAAGAGCATCCTCATTGCCCAAAAGTAGTTAAATTGCCCTCTTCCTAGTGAAATTTATTGCCATTTAAACATGCCAAAAGGCCATTCTGCTGGTCATTACGATAATCTATCATTTCTGCAACTGCTGGTATCCTGTTCTGTGGTCAAATTCAATCTGAGAAGGGTCAACAGAATTTTTCCAACAAATGCTTCCCTCTCACCTATCATCAATTTACTTTTGTCAACAAAAAGGGCATTACTACCGAATGAAACAGAAGATTCCCTTAGGACCTTTGGCAAACAGCAAGAGCTTCTCTGACGTTTTGCATTCTTTCTGCCTGCAGATGTGCCCATGCTAGCACCATGACAGCACTGAATGCATGAGCAGCAATTTTGTAGCGTTGGGCTCCTAGTACTCAAGTGAACATTCATTTGCAACCTCCGTCAAGAGCTGAACAATATTTACAGCTTATCTGTAAAAAATATTCTTCTATAAATATGTTTTTCAGTAGGCAATTATGATTGTGTTAAGGACTCCCATTTTCCCCACACTGCTCTTCTACTTGGCTTAGAAAAAGCGTGAGGACAATCGGAGTCCCTAACACACAGTTGAGGTGCAGAACAGCCACTGCACGCACCAGATAACAGCCGATGGTTCACTCAGCTTCTTCGGGCCAGTTCTGCTGCCCTGTACCTCTGTGTTGCTATTGCTCCAACTGGTGCCAGGGAGGCAACACGATGTACCCACTGCAGGTGGAAATTCAACAGCTGGGCAACTCATGATTCAGTTGAGAGCACAGCTCATTTTTGGCTAGGTTTCTGAAAATCCTAGGGAACAGTCCAATGATGTTTAATGAAAACACTAATAAAAGCCACCATGGTAACCTTAAATGATTTTTCATCTGCTAGTGTGAGGGAACAAACCCAAATGAAGTCAGTGAAACCACTCTGAGCCATCAGCATTCCTGCTGTGGAGCTAAGAGATCCCAGCGCTGCATCCTCTTCTTCTCAGTGCTGTTACACAATGATTAGGTATTTATTGCTAATAACATGTACCCAATCTTCGCCACAAAGAGCTAATGGGCTAACTTTTCATGTACATATACAGAGAGAGAAATGAAAGGCAGGGAAGAGTGTAATGACAGTGGATGCATAACTTGAAATCCACCAAAGCTTTTACCTCAGCAGTTTCCTTCTTGCAGGAGCTCCGTAATGCCCTTGTTTTGCCGCAGCTGGTCCTGGCTGACAGGACAGTGTTCACATGCTGGCTCATATGCCAGCTTAGTGAAGACTGTGCAACTCCTAACCAGTGGCCTGGAGAGCAGCTGAAAGCATTTCCTGGTGCAGGGAGGCAAGGAACAGCTGGATGCATTATGAATGGAGTAAGGGAAAGCACAAGTGACAAATATGAGCAAAGAAGAAAGAAACAAGCAAGGCCAAGAAGCATCCAAAGGCCACGAGCACCTGAAGTGCTGCATTCAGTACTCAATCAGGAGTGAGTTTCACTGCGTTCTTCCCATCTTGGTCTTCTATAGTATAATCACTCACAAGAAACCCTGTTGGTGTTTGTCTCTTTCCAACTAAAATCAATGTGTCAATTCATTTCTATAACATTCCAGAGCCATATATTTTGATGAACTGCTGTACACATTCAATGCAAAAGCCACTCTTCACATCCCCCCCCAGACAGTCAAGGAACACACTTCTTTCTCTTCCAAAGCTAAAACAAAACCAACAAAACCAAACAAAACCTTTTCTGCATGCTCTGTCTCCCATATTGTCTTCCTGGCCAAAAGAACATGGGTTTTGCTTTGGAAAGCCCTAAGTGGTGTAGGGCATGATGTTTCCCAAAGGTAAAGTTTTCATGCGCTATCTCCAGAACATCATTGACATGAAGCGCCCAAGCTAACATCCAGAGCAATTAATGCACGAGGGATGGTAAGGGCAGCAAGCTGAAATGCTACTATCAAGGTTTTTTTTTTTTTTTTTTTTTTAACTGAAGAACCATCTGAACTTGGTCTACCTATTTTCTTCATCAGATGACTTTCCTGCATGTGAAAACAGTGATGATCAGATGCTACTTTTCAGGACCATCAGTTTGGATGACTGTGATGGCACTGCAGATTTGAAAATAATGAGACAGCTTAGCTTTCCTTTTTGTATAGGTCTCGACAGACAGATTCATTGAAAACAACATCCATGCTTAGAGCCAGAAATTCACTCAAATGGTCTTGTTTGAGCTTTGAAGCAAAACCCCCTTTCAAAGAAGTCTCCAAAATAATTGTGTCAAAGTTATAAAAATGCTAACAATTTATTCTGAGAAAATTAAATCCGCTGAAGTGAGACTGGGAAGTGTTAAACTTAACACACATAAAAGTACATAGCCTGGCTCACAGAGAGCTGGGACTTCTTGAGCTGGCTACAGTCCTCAGCATTCCCTCCTCTCTGATTTTTAATCGCTTGGTAACATTCAGAGTCTTCTTCTTGTTGCAGAAAGATGATGAAAGCTGCTCCCCTCTTTGAGTATGATGCCAGAGAGGAGCCTGTGTCAGATTATAGACATTACTTGTCTTGACTTTTAACAAAGATTTAGGTCAGCAAAACAAAACAAAACAAAGGCATGGGAAGTGCTCCCCTGCTTCTCTGAAGATCCCATGGCTAGCCACTGTCCCCATGCTGGGGCAAACAGCCTACAGGTGGGCATAGAAAAGATGTGGCAAGCAAAGCTGCATCTCCCCCAGCCCCAAGGCATCAGCCAACAGATCTGTATGAAGAGGTTGTAGCAGGAAAATAAAGGCCTGTTTTCCTTAGTACAGGCCAAATCCATATTATTTTGCACTCAAAGGGAAGCCAAGAACGGTGGATACCCTCAAGACATCCCTGCACAGGTATTATCCTTCAAAGCATCAGGAAAAGCCATGTGGACCTTCAGCTGCAGCTGCCACACCAACCAGTATGTCTGCAAGTAACCGACCAAACAGGCTGTCTGCTAACACTGGGCCACTACATGAATCTTCCATGCCCCCACTGATGAGAGGTGGGCCAGGGCCAGCAGGACACAGAGCCCATACACTGATACTGTCGACCTTGCAGATGCACCAAGTGCCCTATCTCCCTTGCATGGGAAATAAGATGCAGGTCAGAGGACCAGGAACCCTCAGCACTTCCAGGAGTCCCACCGCAAATCAAAATCATATACTTCTCCATTGTAGAAATCCACCACTGTAGCTTTCTGTGTCCATGTGGTGAAAAACTGGTACCAGTTGCTCCCCCCAGCGCTGTGGTGCCCCTCGCTCTGCCACTGGCCATCAGGGAGCCCTGACAAGGCTGCGCTGCTCCGCTGGACAGGGCTGCAGCTCCACAGAGGCTGGGATAGAGCCTGGCCAGTGGCTGCCTGGGGCTCACCTCTGCCACTGCTCTGCTGGGCCAGCTGCTTTGGGGACAAGGATAGCAACAGCATCAGTGCAACAGGCCAGGCACAGGACCCTTTTTGAGTTTGTGTTTATTTATTTATTTTTGTGAGTGCTAGTGCCTTTTTTTTTTGTAGTTTATTTTTTGTTTTTAAATAGTTTTTCTACTCTTATCAGAAATATAACTTGGTTCTGGCTGGAGCTGCTCACCTAGGTCTCTACTGCAGCAGTTTATATTGAATCTATAATGACAAATTTTGAAGGCTGAACTAACATGAAAGGCAGAAAATTAAATGATAAAAACTGAACATCAAGAATTGTCTCGGTCATACACAAAGACTTCTTCCCTGCTTGGCCTTGCATCAGACAGCAGGCATGAGATAAATTGTGAGAAGGGCCTGCACGCCAGGACAAATTCTCAAGTAAGAGCACTTGATCCAGGCAGCTCTTTGCCTCATAGTAATGTTCCAGTATTTCCTTCTGCCATTGTTGAAGGTCTTTGTGATTGAATATGAATTTTGTTTTTCACACAGACCAGGTTTTGTTTTGTAGCTTACAAGTCAAGTGAGACTTAATGGTACGCATCTGGCATCACCAAGTGTAGAATGAACGGGAACCTCCAAGTCGATCCTGAAACCGAGCACAGCACCTGAGCAGGACAGAATAGATTGCATGGGAGGGGAAAAAGCTTACATAAACGCCAATAATTATAATAACTGGCAACACAGTTCAGAAAATCATATAGCCAATGACAACCTTCTCCAAAACTCATTGCAATCAGCTGAAAACATCCTTGTATGTTCAAGGGGAGAACAGCTACGACATGGAAGTAAGGCTTTGCCACAGTCACACAGATGGTGACAGCCTTTCAGTTTTAATCCATTGAGTATGATCACTGTTGCCAGATGATATCGTCTATTGACAATGGTTATTTTATGCAAGCCTGGTTGTTTGCCATAGTAATAAAAAGAGGGGGGAAAAATAAGGAAAACAAGTCATGGCTTTGTCATAATAAAATTTAAAGAGGCAATAATTCTAGCTCAGAGCCAATGGGGAAAACCCTGACTTAAGTCTCTCTGGTTAGCATCAAGTTGCCTGACTTGAAAAACAGTCAGACAAACCTACCATGTTTTACAGTAAAATACTGTCAATTATTCATCTATGTTTAATAGTGTAAAAGCATCACAAGAACGTGCTGTAGCACATCAACTGGGCAGGGCTAAACCCATTAAAAATATCCTGGATCGAAGTGACTGACAAATAGCATTATTCTTCATGAAAACCCCATGCCTCATGTTCTTTGTCACTGCTGTCTAGGCTGTGACAAACATCAGGCCTCAGGCAAGAAGGCACAAAACACTTTGTGTCATCAAAACATGAATCTGAGCTTTGCCTGACACTTCTCCAGTGAAGGACTGGGGCTGACAGCTTATGGCCACGCAGAATTATTGCTTGCCTAATGTTGAATAACGTAAGCCCTCACAAATCAAGTCTCACTTTCCAGGTACCATAACAACTCACCGTGTAGCAATGTCTCTTCCAATGACTGCACGCTGAGCTAGAGAAGCCAGCACCAGCGCTGGGAAGTGCTTGGCATAACAACACATCTGATAGTGATCATATTAAATGCTTATTTTGTTTCTTCAGCAGACACCCAGCAGTTGCTGAGATCCTGACTTGCAGCCAGCCTTGCCAGCAGGCAAAGAACTGTCTGAAGCGGCACTTGGACAGTCAACCTCCGACAAGCTCTGCCTATTATTTTCCTGTTCCTGAGCCAATAGCTGAGATCTTCAGCACAACTCTGCATGACACGGAGGGTTGTTACAATGCAAAAGATAGTATCTTCTGACCGCCCCATAAAAATGCTCTGAGGTCCTGTGAAGCTGAAGAAGTGCAGGGCACACGTAGCAAGCTGAGGATTTGTGAGTCACCCTCCCATCAGTGGGTGTTGGCTGGGTTCAGCTTTTTGTTGGTGCTTCTCGTGGTGCATCGTGAAAGCATCTCTTTCACCCCCAAATGGATGGGTGAAACCAAAGTTGCCTGTGGGTCAGAGATCGTGGTGAGTTGCATTTAATTCCATCTGTACACTATGCACACAGAAATGATCCAAGGCAGATTGCTGTACAAGATATAAAACTCTGTAAAAGCTTTTTTGCCTCCTCTCCTTCAGACTGCCATTTGTTTTCCTTTTAGTTATTTGGCAAGCTCTCACAGACATTTACCCCTAGATTCCTCGCTTAGCTTTTACCATTTCAGTTACAGTTTCGAAGCCAGTTTTTGAGACTCCATTCTGTCTCTACCTGAAAAGCAAGGGATGAGCTGCTTTTCTGGAGACACGTCTCTGCCCTGAGGCAGCCTGAACAGCTTTGCTGAGAGATGCCGAGCAGAGAGACTTTAAAATGCTCAATGCAGCAAAAGAAAAATCTTACTTTGTTTTTCAAGCAAGTTGGTGACTGGACACTTGATTAGATGGACTGCCTGCTCTGGTCAAGTCAGACTATTTCTACAGTTTTGTCTTCCATCAGAACATCAGTCCAAGCTGAAATGCTACTTACAGAAACGACAGGCCCAAGACAGCCCAGGGGAACTAAACTGGTGAGCACATCCCTCACCAGGTTCAGGAGCTCCTTTGTGGACGACTGCAATGCCAGTTCTCACCAGTGCCTGTCCTGCCTCACAAAGGTAATTAGCCAGTCCTTCTCCCAAGCAGAGCAACTGACTGTGCTACCACTGTCTCAGCTTCCCTGTGCATACCTCTTAATAAAGAAGAAATAAAAAATTAAGGCACCAAGCGGTATCTAGAGTTTAAGAGGTCCAGATCCAGCTGACAAGCATTGGTGGAAGGGGACCGCTAACTAAAACTGAAGACGTTTCAAGCTCAGTTCTGAGCTCAGTGCCCTAGAAAATACTTTTTCTTTTTTTTTTCAAAGGTAATGTTGGACCAACATGTTAGGAAAACAGTTTTCAAAGAGTTTATTCTGCAACCCAGAGAACTTCCAGGGGAAGGTGAACAGTAGAGCTCTGAAGCTGAATAGTGGTGAGCAGGACTTCTCTACATGCAGAGGGCTTCCAAGCACAGTCGCACCTGGCAGAAAGCCTGGGCCTACCCGCAGGCACTGGATTGGGTTCTTCCCCGAACAGGGTGGACCCAGAGGCTGCTGGCCTGGCTCCTGCTTGCAGTTACACCACCTTGCTGCTACCCTTCCGTTCCTGCCACCTGACACCACCTGCAGCCATCTGAAAGCTCACATGAGACCCTGAGGTATCTGGCACTGCACCTCCATGGCCAGCACCACTCCTCTCCCACACTGAGCTGTGCTGCAGGGGCCGGCAGAATGAGCGGAGACAGACCCGTTACATGTCCACAAACACCCAGCAACTGCATGCACAAGTAACTGCTTTTCAATACACGCTTCTAGGTACTGCTGCTACCTAAAACTTGTATGCAGAAATAAACAGAACTGAGCAAAGACCCAGCACTGCTGTGGCTCTGCACCATGCACAGGCTGCCTACAGGAGGTGGCTGCTGTTCTGTCCCTGAGCATACAGCCTCACCCTGCCCGACACAGGCAACTGGACGCTCCAGGAAGCAGCTCCCACATGCCTGGTTTCCACCTCACATGTTCAGAGGACAGCAGACCTTCTCCTTTACACGTTCCTTTGCAGAACCGGGCTTCACACAGCCACGTGCTTGCCCATAGGGCTCAGGAGCCTTCTGCTGCCTATGCCCACAGTACTGCTGGGTCACGCACCACAGGATCGTCAGGCCTCCCCCCTGCTGCTCCTTCCTGGAACGCACGGACTTCAGAGATGCTGGACAACACTTGGCTCCTTTACCTAGGTGTGATCCAGGCACAGAACACTCATTATATCCCCTTAGAAAGGAAGTAGGCATGCTGCATGTCACAACAGCAAATGATCCTGTCTTTCTGCCAAGGCTGTTTGGGATTTTATTCCTCTTCCATATTATTCTTCCATTTATTACACTTCCGTATTACTCTTGCACTACAGAGCAGATATTTTTCACTCTAAACAAAACAAAAATTTCTTTGAAGACTAACCACTGTTAAAAACAAAAGCACATCCTGGAAGCAACACTGCAAATTCACATTTGAACCCTGAAACTTTCCTGGGCTTCTCCCCAAAACCCACAAGCCGTTTTCTAACAAGACAACCTGCCAAACTCCACAAAAAAACACGTGCCTGAGGGTAGAGAAAGCACCCCTAACACCCTCCCCCCTGCTCCCCCCCGCCCCCCCCAAGCTTTAACTGACAGGTTTCCCTGTGCCATGTCCCCACTAGCAAGCTCAGCTCCCAGGCAGGCAACTGCAACCACCTACACCTTAATTCATGGTGTGCATATAGAAGTCAAAAATGACATACTGGAACATCTAAGTTTAGCAATTAACAGCCATACCTTATTTAGCTATCTTTTAATTAAGTTGAACCTACAAAATTAAACTACCTGTGCCAGAATGATTTCTGATTTCTTCATTCAGCTGTTACAAAGGAAGTTATGGTTTATAGGTTTGTTTAGATGCGTGTCTCTAAAACACAGTAATTACAGGAGTAGATGACCTATATGACTACTCAACTTCATAAAACTTAATATTTTGTATACCTTGCTGCATATATACAGGCAAATGCTGGACCAAATGCTCCACCACTAAACACTTTGAACTTCTATGTAGTTTAATAACGGCTACGTGGTTTCATTTTTTCTAATGTTATTTTGGCTTTGCAGATCCATCTCCCAACACTGTGGCAGTACTCATTTCCTGCAAGACCTCTTTTGAAAGCTGCCAGAGCGGTACATACGGGAGTCTATTAGAAGAAAGGCTGTTTAACAGGACAAGGTCACCATCAGCAGCCCTGTCCACACCTCAAGGAGGAAGCAGTTTTATGGCTTCCAACTCAAAAGAGTTTCTGCAAAATGACAAAGTGACTGCCAGCATGTGATGTCCTTGGCAGTGACCAACGTGGCTGATTCCACTCTGTTCAGACACTTTTATAAACCAAAGTGAGGATACCTGGCCAAATTAAAGCTTGCATCCAACATGATTGCTTTGGGCTCTATTTCCAATTGTGTTTGATACACCATCCCCAAGGTCTGAACCTGCCAGTCTTGCACAGGCGTGCAGGAGATGACAATCCCACTGAATGAGTTTTAACATCATCATCTTGCCCACACTGTGCTTAGTGCAATGCTGCAGGTGTGTGACAGAGGGGAGAAAAGACCTGGTGAGCACATCACCCTGGTGGTCATGTGGCTTTGGGCCAATGTCCCCTGGGACAAGAAGCACAGAAGATGAAGTGGAAGGAAGATGGGGTAAGGCTGTCGACAAATACTGACATTGACCTGCACCCCTTTTCTGAGTACTACCCACAGTTCTCAGAAGAGAGCATAAAGCTGTGCTTGCATTGCTAATAAATGGCAGCCAAACGCGACAGTCATCTCAGCATTTTTCTATGCAGAAAGGGCCATGCCTTCTGAGCAAAGCAGCAGGCTGCCCTCAACAGAAAACCCTGTTTATCACTTGGAGATGCAATAAAAATAACGAATGCCCAGGGTAAACTTAATTCACTGTGCTACTTAGTATTTGAAATACATAAATATGTCAAGCAAAAGACCTCTAATAGACCCTTTTATCCTGGTAATAGGGTACATATAATTTTCCTCTCATTAGTACAAAAACTACCTAGGGAACTATCGGCCCATCCTTCATCCATTTAATCTGCATTAGTTTACTTTTACCTTGTGTTTAATCTGCTTTCCCTCAAGGTATTTTGAATAAATCAATAGAAATACATGATTGTTTAATGATTTTTAGAAGAGCTCCCTTCGACCACAGCTGCATGATTTAGAATGACTAATTCCACTTTTTACAATTGATCCCGCCGCACACGGCCCATCCATTCCTGCCACGCCAGGCTGGGGGGACCAGCAGCTCTGCTCAGGGATGTCTCAAAGGGTCTTGGGCCACCGATGCACCCATCGGGCTGCAGGGGGCTGCTGGTGGGGCTGCACCACACCACCCACACACAGATGAGCACATGCCCATGGGCACTGCTCATCCCACTGTGCCTTCTTTGCCCTGTCTCATCTGCTCCTCATACCGGGCTTTTATAAGGAAGATGACACCCCTTAGAGGAATAAGGAATGAGGCTGACAACTGTTGGTAGCTCCCTAACGCAGCCCAGCCCTTTACCCAACCACCCCTCACGTTCTCATGGACTTGGGGCGCACGGCAGTGCCTTGCTCTTTGAAGCACTCCAAGGTGACAGTGGGTTTCACACGAGGTGCTGTCTGGGTGCTGCAGGAACGACTCCCGACACCAGGATCCTGGCCATGGGTAAAAGTACACGTGCTGAGCCTTGGTGTGCAACAAGAACTTGCCTGATGACAGACCCAAAGCCCTCTTGTTTTCAGGTGCAAAGGTCCCAGTCACTTCTCATTTCCATCTCTTGTTTACCTCGAAGTCATTTGCAGCAGTGTGAATAGACTGGTGAAGAAAACCATCACTGCGAAGTGCTGTTAGAACCTATGCTCCTCAATGGCTCCTCAATGACAGAAACAGCTCCTCAATGGCAGAAACAGTGCAGAGCTGTCACCTCTCTAGTCCCCAGCACTAGCTTTATACATGCAAGACCACACCTCCTTCAGAGAATTCACAAGATGCTCAAGCCCCCAGAGCCTCTCCATCTTGACCCTCTTTTACAATACCTGGTGGGTTCTGGATCAGGCTGTACATAAAATTCATCTGTCCTCCTAACACTAAGCTCATCTTATTTCAACGTTAGTAAGCTGCACGAGATATGAACACATTGGCAAGCAGAGCAGCACTATATCAACCCTCCAGCCTGACAGTACTACGCTGCTCAAGGAAAAAATATTGACAGTTCGCTTCAATAAGTCAGAAATCTTCTTTGATTGGGATGCTGACAGTGATCGAGACAGGCTGTGTAAGACTCCTTACAAAGAGCCAAGCTACAGAAGATGTTACAGTTTATGGTGAATAATCTATTTCTCCAGGGTTTTT